TTCGAACCCGCGAATCTCAGATTGCGATTCGAGCGCCTTACCACCTGGCCATGCCGGGCCGAACTGGATCGCCACATATAGATTTGTATCACCCCTTTCTCCGAAAACGTTGGTATGTTCCAGAAAAGGTATTTCGTATTTTGTCGACCTTGAACTTTACAATGAAATTAGTTATCTTTAAACATGTGCCAATATATAAATGATACGACCTGATGATCATCGATAAATTTCTTAACAAAATAACTCGTAAGATATATATTTGCCTTATCTCAGGACACTGTCAATTGTGTTTACAAAAACAAAAGAAAGAAAGATAAAGTTACTTGCTTATCATATTTCTCTAAGAATTCAAACCAAATAGTAAAACGTTTCTCTAAATATACGGTTTACCAAATCGTTTATAGATTTCTTAATAAAAATTGTAATCTTCTTCTTTAATTAAAAGATAACGGCTTTGAACCAAACGGAATTTATAAAATAAAGAATGAATACATTTATCAGTCAGACAATTCGTAAGTCAAAATGGCGTTTGAACGAACAAAAAAGTTGCAGTAAAAATAAATATTGCATTTTATCATGTTTAGCAGAACATGCCATTAATCATAACCGCCATATCCTTCGGGGTAAGACCGAGTATATTTGTTCCATGAGTAATTATACTGAACTGAATATAGGAGAGTCACTGGAAATAATTAAGCGCGGATATTTTTCTTTAAATAAAGTCGAAGATCAGATTTTCAGCTTTCTAGTCGTACTTGAATTACCATTGTATGTACATGTATATATATATATTGATAATATAGTTTGTAGATTGTTTTATAATCATATTGTATATTTCTTCTCGTATATAGAATACATATACATATGTATACATGTATTTATTGATGTTATTTCATTTAAATAGAACAGTAATTTAAGATTGACTTGTATCACGTGTTATAGGAACGAGTATTTTTTTTTAAATATAGTACTCTTCTCTCGTCAATTTTCATTCTGTCCTATGATGGCCTGGACAAATATGATCTAAATATAGTGTACATACTCTTCTCTCGTCAATTTTCATTCTGTCTTATGATTGATAGTCTGGACAAATATGATCTAAATATAGTATACATACTCTTCTCTCGTCAATTTTCATTCTGTCTTATGATGGCCTGGACAAATGTGATCTAAATATAGTATACATACTCTTCTCTCGTCAATTTTCATTCTGTCTTATGATGGCCTGAACAAATATGATCGACTTATTGTTGGAAAATATCTTTGATTTCTACAGTATTAAATAACTGTGGTTTAAATGTGTTTTGATTTTATTAACACTCCAATAGAGGTTTTAAAAAACAGCTCCTTCTAGTGGCAAGTAAGTGCAAGTAGAATCTAGTTACTTTCAGTACTTATCCAACACCGAACCGTTTAGAGGTAAATAAGATAATTTTGATAAAAATATTTTAATGAGTTTTCAACTTATGCATCCTACCAAAAACAAACTTTCCATCGAGTTAGATATTTCAAGGCAAAGTAACAAACAGAACTTCGCACTTAACTAATTATTTCATCGTTGTTAGAGCTCGATGTAGTACTTGACCATAGAATAACGAATATTTTATTTATTAAACACTGACACTGATAAATAACAAACAATCCTTTCTCTGAATTTGAAAAAAAATACTATCATAAACATTAATCATCCAAATAATGATTCAGGCATACCCTTTCATATTCCAGTGTTCTAGAAATATAAATATTTACCTCCGTCATCACGAACAAGATCGCTAGGTGGTTGAACGATCTTGGACCTCTGAGGCTCACAGCCAGCCTCCTCCAGCGCTCTCTGTAGAGTAACGTGGTGGTATATCGAAACATCTATTTTGTGATATCGTTCCTAAAGATAGGATAATTATATTTAACTAACTAAAAACAGATAGTATAAATAGTAAGAATGCGTTTAATACATCAGATTATTCAATTTTCGTTTTATAAGGGTTGTTCGTTTTATTATGGAACAGTTTGTTTGTTTGAAGTTAAGCACAAAGTTACACAATGGGCTATTAGTGCTCTTCTCACCACGGGTATCGAAACCCGATTTCTATCATTGTAAGTCGGAAGATATACCGCTGTGCCACTCAGGGGGGGGGGGGCATTATGAAATAGTAAAGCTAAGTTTGTATTTTCGTTTTAGAGCACAGGTTATTAGGGATTAAAATGGGATCATAAAACATCCTTCTCTGAACATTAACAAACAGAAATTATCATATCTTTACTGAACTTAATGACTTTCTTATTAAAACTGTTTACATATCTAACTAGGTGAAATATCTGGTCAACAAAAGTCCTACTAATTTTAATAAGCTGCATAACTTATACTGACAAATTGGAAACTTCATGTTTCTAAAACACTTCCGAATTCTTGAAGTCAGTTTCTCCGTTTCAGTCATTTAAAGTTTTAGTTTTTAATGTAGAATGTGCATATTGAATATTAAATATTCTAATTTCAATACAACAATTTGTAGACTCAAGTAGCATTACTATGTATTAGATATTTTGATCAGGGTTTTTTTATCTCCTAATGTACTTCTTTTTCATAATTTGAAAAATAAAACATCTACTGCTGCCATCTAGTGTCGCTTAAATGCTTTGTTAAAATAAATGGATATATTTTCATACCGAGCCAATATTATTATTAAATCAAATATACGTGTTTTAAGAAAATGAGAATTATGTTTGTCTTTTGATGATAATTTCATTATGTAACATTTAATTCACCACCAAAATATATCAGAAATATTTTAATCGATGCTGTAAATCACTTAACCAGTTTATTCATTAAAATAATATAGCAGATGATACTGAAAAAATATAAACCATACAAAGAAGCTATAGTTTAGACTCTCCCTCTCTCTTTTCTAACACCAAAATATGAACGTAGCTACAAAATATTCTACGTCGCAAACTTTTGATTGGTTGTTTGTTTTCGGATATTCGCGCATAGCTACTCAGGGGTTATCTGCGCTAGCTGTCCCTAATTTTAAATTGATAGGCTAGAAGGAAGGCAGCTGGTCGACAACACCCATCAATAACTCTTATCTGACCAAATAGTGTGATTTAATAGTCACCGTTATAGTAAATCCACGGTCTCAAAGTGTAGAACGTGATTGTTGTGGTGATAACAGGGTGTAAATGCTGGACCCACAGATCCACAACCCAGCACGTTAACTCGTACTTTTTGAAATGTTCTCTATTAGTGTATGTAATTTAGTAACCACCTACCAGTACTTTTTATTATCTGTATTTTGTCCATCGCGCGGAATCGAACTCCGGATTTTAGTGTTGTAAGTCCGTAAACGTACCACTGACCTCCTGGGACATTTTAAAACATGCATTATTATACACCGGCAGACAAAGCCAACTATTAGACGTTTCGTTATTTGACGCCCCCATTGGCTTAGCGGTGATTCTGGGGACTTATGACGCTAAAAATCTCGTTTTCATACTTGCGGTGGGCAGAGCACGTATAGTCCATTGTGTAGTTTTGTGTGTAACAATGAAGCAAAAAAAAAACCGCCAGCTGCCGCTTCTTGTAAATGTACGATTATCGGTCAGTACAATATTTTACCAAGGTTTGATGTTTCAGCTGATATCAAAACACGAACAATATTACTCAGTATAAAATATCAATAAATAAACATCACATAAGTCCTCTCTCTTATAATATAGTGTAATATTACTGAGAAAAGAAGTAAGGCACTAAATTCCGAACATATATTTAATTTTCTTAAAACTACTAAATATTCAGAAACAACGACAGTCATTGAATGTTTCGAAGCCTAAGTTCACTAATCTCACACCTCTTGTTCTTTTTTTTTTTTCGGGGGAGTTTACACATCCTTGGTTCAGTTATTGTTTCAAAGGCCTTCTTCTGTATCCGTCTTCACTGTGAATTGTGAACTGCTGCTCATGTTTATTGGATCTGAGCTTATTATTGTGCTTCGTCTTTGGGTCAAGGAATAATTGGAAAACAAGCACACATGACAAAGGCCCATTCATGAGCTTTATGCCACCTTCTTTTTAACGAACGTACTATTTCGCTGTAACCTTAAAAAAAATCACTTCGGGTGTTACGACTCAAGATGTCAACTATCGTTCAAAAAGATGGAGGATTGACTATTAAAAAATAAACTAATTATTCTGTGTTGCTGAAAGAGGGAAAAAAGGGGGTCACGCTGTTCTTTCTGACGTAAGCTTCATAATTATATAAATAATTATAATTTCTAAAAAATAAAGATAATTTTCCTTGGTGTACTAACAAGCAGTATTGATATTTACACGTCTAAACACGTCTGAACAAAGGATGTTTAAGCTACTTATAATCTAGCTATTTGTAACAGAAAATACTTGTTCGACTCTTGGAAATCGTCTACAGAGCATACGATAAATATACATTAGTACTGCGTTACCGCTTGCTTCTGATCAGCATCACGCATAATTGGACAAGTACAACTGAATATAAACAAGTTAATTTGAAGAGTTTTATACATCTTTAAACAGAGTTATTTATGTCAAGTTGAACTTGTCTGCATTTACTATCAAAATGCCCGTAAATTATAATAATTCTGCTGGTTATTTTGTTGTATGTCCATAGATAGAGGCGTTAGCGAATGACTTCCCGATATTAGCAAACAACACTCTCAACAGCAAATAATATAGTATATTTAACGCTAATATTGCGGTTAACATATCTCAGTGCAGCGCAAAACCAACGCTGGTAATTGCAGACATTCGACGCGTGCGCAAAATCGAGAAAAATACAAAAATACCCGACTCGCTTTAATGTCAGAAACTCTGACATCGCCCATGAATTAAAGCCCGGTTATAATAGATTTAGGTAAATAAGTTCACGCGTGGAAATCCCATTATGATTTTAGGAATGTGGGAGAAGTATTTGGCAGTTTGAGCGTGGCGAAGAAAGTCGATTCTAACGGCTAACCGATGGAAATGGGCAACAACAACAACAAAGTGCAATGTGGCCTACCAATAAGCTAATTACAACCGTCAGCACTTTCCATTATTTTAAGATTTAGCGCCTCTAAACGGCCAGTCGTGCGCCTGATTGACACCCTACCCTCCTAGTGTCTGGTAGGGTCTTCATAAATTCTGGAATGAAGAATTACGCCTGTTATATGGAAACCACGTGCAAAAAATGGAATGTCCGTTACCGATTAAAATACGAAAAAAACCCAACAAAAAACAGAACATTTCCTTTTGTGGAAAACAAAATAAAAGCATGATGTTTAATTTATTTTCTAACCGAATACAGCAAAGGATGTAAAATATATGATAACAAACCCACAATTCTTTCATTTCATCCTGCATCCACATCTATAAATTTTCAGTAACGAAATGATAAGAAAACATAACTGTTTTGTTTTTCTTTCTCGCATGTTCACCTAATGTAAATATTTTAAGTTTTACATTGGGGTGCAGGCTGAAATCAACTATCATAGCTGATAAGATGTAAAATTGTAAATCAAAGGCAACAGATAAGACTAGATAACATCCAAATATATTGATAAATTTCGTAGAGTTTAATGTTTTTATATTCCACACAAATGAACCTACAATTGGAGTTAAAATTATCTTTGACTCATTTACGGAGGGCTCGCGCGTTTTAAATGTATTGTCCAATTCTAATATTAATGTGTAATGCATAAACATAAGTTTCAGCGCCCAACCAAACGCTCTTCCATAGTGGGGCATTATTTATTTACAGCATAGTGACCATACAAAGAGCAAAAGCTTGTTCGCCTGCATTCTATTAGCTAATGGGGGTACTTGTTTTTTTCTCTTTTTTCTTTTTGTCCCATTTTCTTATAAGTCTAAAAGTCTTTTTTTTTAATCTAACAGTATATAAATATATTTGAAACTACTACACTTTTATAAAATCTCTAAATTATATCAACACCAGTATATACCCTTCTAACATAAGAATTATCATATATCAGTTTTGTTTGGAAAACAGTTCACTAAAGTTTTTGGCAAGATATTTTCGAATTATCCCCAAATTCTGTATTTTACATTATTCCTATACAAAACAATCAAGCACAAAACACTTTTAAACGGATATTGTTTAAGAAGTTACTTAGTAAAGGCCCGGCATGGCCAGGCGGTCAGGGAGATCGACTCGCAATCTGAGGGTCGTGGGTTCGAATCTCCGTCCCACGTAATATGCTCGCCCTTTCAGCCGTGGGGGCGTTATTGTTAGACGGTCAATCCCACTGTTCGTTGGTAAAAGAGTAGCCCAAGAGTTGGCGGTGGGTGGTGATGACTAGCTGCCTTCCCTCTAGTCTTACACTGCTAAATTAGGGACAGCTAGCGCAGATAGCCCTCGTGTAGCTTTGCGCGAAATTCAAAACAAACATACAAACAAACAAACAAACATTACCACCTTTCCAACAGCCTAGTGTGCTGTCTTGCTTTTGGTTCGAGAGTATTTAATTCACCCAAATAGAGCCCACAGTCGAGAAAGATAAAAATCCTGGCTTTTACAAATAATTCAAAATTTCATACAATAATAACACAATTTATCAACAAAATAATCGTAGAAACAATATTTTTTGCCTTCAAAGCTATATTAGGTTTAATAATATTCAATGTTCCAAATATATTATTTTAATAATTTTTTTTTATTTGTTTGAGTATTTAAATCTACAGTTTCTTAGACATTAATTAATCTGGACTTTGCCCTCCTAAGTATTTTAGCGGCACATCTCAAAAGCATATTATTAAAAAAATCGGGTTTCGATAGCCGCAGTATGCATAAAAGAGATAACCCATTACGTAGCTTTGTGCTTATCAATAAGTATATTAGGTCGTCAAGATATTAATGTCACTTTTTTTAGATGAAAAAACCTGAACAACTTATATATCAAAACAGAACATTTATTAAATGAAATAATCGCCATTCTTATCAATGATGCTTTTCCATATTAGAAGCCCCCAGTGGCACAGCGGTATGTCTGCGGAC